TTTGTTTCCCTCCCTCGCTAGACTGTAGGTCAAGGGGAGTAGCAACTGAATGTGTTTTTAATCACCATTGCATCTCTGTGCCTAGAAATAAATAAGCTTGGTAGGTGCTAGTAAATATTCCTCGAATGAGTAAATGATCTCTTGTAGCCATTAAATATATATGATTTTTCTTCCTACATTCCTCTTAACTGCAACTCCTTGCCCTTTTGGCTCTGTCCTTACATCTTTTCTAGAACCAGGTAAGGCAAGGAAAGAAAGTAGAATACAGCTCACCTATAGTTTAATTTTTTTCTGGAAGAAGATTTGTTTGAAATTTTGATGCTCCGTGAAGTCAGATTTTCCAGGTTTTCCTGATCTTTAAATAGTTAAATATAGATTATTATGGGTATTGCTAATTAGGCTTTTTGGCATGAGGTCAGAGAATGTACCTGTCCTGTGCTTTCTGGGGATGGGATATATCTATGCAGAATTTCTCAAATGTGTAATTTCTCAAATTCTCTGAGATGATTAACACGATATCTTTGTATAGAGCACATATTTGATAAATGTTTGTTCACACTGATGTTCAGGCTACTGTTGAGTCCCCCTGCCCATGGATCCTTTCCTTTTCTCTTTTCCTTCTTTCCCTAAGAGGATTAAGGATTCAGGTGACCCTTTAAGCCACGAGGCATTGGGCCACAGCTGCCACCCTGGTTCCTTGTCCTTTTCTGCTTTACTTTTTAGAGTCAGTGATGGTTAGGCCCTCCTTGTGTCTGACCGTGTAGAGGTGTGAGCATTATGTCCACAGGATGTTACAGGTTCTTCTGAGGGTCAGGAGCAGGGTCCCACTTCACCTTATGTACTGCAGAGAAGAATCCTTTTTTCTTTGGGCTTCTCTTCCTGCTTGGAGGTGGCATGGTGGGAACGAGAGGGGTCAGAGTCTTGCTCCCTTGGGGTCCAGTGGACTGACAAAGGGAATGATGTCTTGTGAGTCCTAAGGCAGGACACCTCTGTTGTCTACCTTTCAGCTGTCATGGTACATACAGAGAGGAGGCCACAGTAACTAATGGTCCTGCATGAATCCTTTGTCACTTGACAGCTCTCTCTACGGATCTTGAAATAGATTCAGAGCCATCAGATCCAGCCATTTCCTGAGCACTAATTCCAGGCCAGGTCCTGACCTTCCTTTCGATGGCTGGGTCTTTCTGCTTGAAGAGTGCTGTTTCATGCTTGCTGTTTGAAACAGTGACAGTTTCTGAAGAAGTAAAGACAGGAGAGGTTAGGACCCATGGCTCCAGACTCCCGTTGGTCACACCTGGTGTGGCTGACTCCTCTGCAGGTGGGGGAGATGCCCTGAGCAGGGCTGTCCATGGCAGCCATTTTACCAGGCGGATAGTCTGTGCTTCATCAGGCTTCATCGTGGGAGCTGCCAAAAGGAGAGTTGGTGGGATCTGGGTGTCCTGAGGTAGTGGTGGGACTAGGGGTGGAAGAGAGGAACAGTTCTAGAACTACACCATCTTGTCAGTTAAACAATTTGGCATCTGCCTACTTGCTGTGTCCTCACATGGTGCAGAGAGAGAGCGAGCTCTGGTCTCTCTTCCTCTCTTTATGAGGACACTAATCCTATCAGGTCAAGGACCCACCCTCATGTCCTCATTTAACTTTAATTACCTCCTAGAGACCCTAAATCCAGATCCAGTCACATTGTGAGTAGGGCTTCAATATGTGACTTTTGGAGGGACAAAATCTGGCCCATTGCAGCTCCTTTCCACTCTTTCCTCTTATATCCTCGTCCTATTAAGCCTGATGTCACTCTGTCCATTGTATCTGTTCCTTCTCCATTCCCACTGCTTCTGCCCTAGTTTAAGCCCTCATCATTTTTCCCCTGGACAGCTGCCTCCTTAAGTGGTTTTCCTGACACCAGTCTCTCATTTCTCCAATCAAGCCGTGCCAGTCCTGCCAGAGTTCTTGTCCTAAAAAAAGGCCACCCTGTGATACTTTCTTCTGCCAGAGCCTTCAGTGAGTGATTCCCCTCTGCCACAGGGCAGGGTCGAGGCTCTTTAGCATGGTCTGCGAGACTAGCCCAGTCCGGCGCTCCAGAACACCTGTCTGCACGTGATGCTTCCTCTATCTAGAACGCTTTTCTTCACCATCAGAATTCTTGTTCGCCTTCCTTCATCCCTTCAGGGGAGTTGGGACAGGAGGTTTTCCCCTTCTGCCTTCTAGTACCGTTGATGCGCAAGCTCCCTCCATTGGATTGTGAGCTCCCTGAGGGCACTGTTGAATGTAAATAGGGACGTCCAAATAGGGATACAGTTGAGATGGTGTGCCTGTGCTCCAGGGTGTGCTGGCATACAGGGGTCTGTGTGCTGCTGAGTATTTTGGTGTCACTGGGGTTTTCTGTTGGTGCTTCTGTACTGTAATTCTTTCTCCTATTTGGGGTTGGGGATATGAAGTCAAACTCTTGACAGAGCCAGGCTTGGAGATCTTCCGTGGTTCAGAGTGTTGCCTTACCTGGTTCCAGAAAAGATGTGAGTAAGGAAATTTTGGGAGATGTGTCTCAGGGAACTTTCCCAGGTGCAGAGCCTGAATTCTGAGCTATTAGTCCTACCACCCTCCACTGTTCCTGGAGCCTGGAGGGTCCCTGGTCAAGTTGGCTTACAGGGTCTGGTTTGACTGAGATGCTCCATGATCCAGCTCCAGCTCTTCTCCTTTCAAGCTGAGTCACTAATTTTCTCTTTGGGTGGGGGTGTCTGTGATCTAGGTGTTTGAGCCCAGACCAATCATGGCTGGACGACCGATCCGCATAGGAGACCAGCTGGTCCTGGAGGAAAATTATGATGAGACCTACATTCCCAGTGAGCAAGGTAAGAGGCCGGGAAGAGGCATGTGGTGTATTGTATTAGTTCTTTGAGGGCAGAGATTATGTCTGATTTATTTTTGTACTTTCAATGCAAAGTATGGTACATGCACAGGGCTGCTTAGTAAATTTGGGTTAGATCATAGGTTGGCAAACTTTGTAGCCCATGGGTCTACTTTGGCCTGTTGCCTGTTTTTGTAAATAAAGTTTTTTTTGGAAAACAGCCATGCTTATTTGTTTATGTATTGTCTGTGTCTGCTTTTATGCTTCAACAGCAGAGTTGAGTAGTTGGGACAGAGACTGTATGACCCACAAAGCTTAAAATATTTACTACTATCTGGCCCTTTATGGAAAAAGTTTGCTGACTCTGGGTTAGATCAATGATTAGTTTTAAATGGAAATACAGTAAGGGATTACTATGAAATACAGTGTGTCCTGAGACACCCAATTTTTTAAGAACAAACTTAAAGCGATGTTTTTTTAAAAAAAATAATAA